TGCCCAGCACCGTGCCCGGCCAGGCTCTCGCGGGTGCTGCTGCGGTGTCGGGGTGGGAGGGGATGGAGCGCTGCAGCATCCCGCTGCTGGGGGGGTTCCCAGCGCCAGCCTGGCCACTCACGGCTGCCTGCTCAGCAGGTGGTGCAGGAGGTTGTTGGCTTCCTGCACCGCCTGGCAGCCAGCAAGGACTGCGCAGTGGTGATGTGCCGTGTGGGCACCCGCGAGGCTCTGTCCAAAGCCCTGGACAAGCACAGCATGGCCCCGTCGCTGGCGCCAGCCCTGCTCGACCTGGTGATTGACTGTGAGAAGTATGCCAGCCTCTACAAGAAGCTGACGACCAGCATCTTGGCTGGCTGCATCCAGGTGGGCCTGGGGAGGCCCGGCTGCGCTGGGGCTCTGGGGCTTGGGGCCGTCTAGCTGGCCCCAGCACCGAGGGGCAGCCTTCTGCTCTCTGCCTGCTGCAGCCCTGCGGTGGGCGAGGGGAGGAGGACCCAGGGCCCCCAGTAAGAGCATCGCCCCATCCTGTAGCTGGTCCTGGGGCAGATTGAGGAGCACCGCCGGAGCCACCAGCCCATCAGCATCCCCTTCTTTGATGTCTTTCTGCGCAACCTGTGCCGAGGTGAGTGCGGGGAGCGGGAGCTGGAGCCCTGTGCCTGGCATGTGCTGGCCTGGCGGCTGGAGGCTCCATGTGCTCTCCCCACAGGCTCCAGCGTGGAGGTGAAGGAGGACAAGTGTTGGGAGAAGGTGCAGGTCTCCTCCAACCCCCACCGGGCCAGCAAGCTCACGGACAGGAACCCCAAGACCTACTGGGAGTCGAATGGCAGCACCGGCTCCCACTTCATCACTGTCCACATGCAGCATGGTGTGGTGGTCAGGTGGGGCTGGGCCGGGAGGGCTGGGGGGCCTTGGGGCCAGGAGGGCCAGCGGTTGTGCGACGAGGAGGGGGCTTTGGTGATCTTTTGAGCCCTGCCCCAGTGGTCCCCATCCTGGGGGGTTGCTGGATGTGGGCAGCAGTGCGTGGGGCTGGCAGGGCCCAGGGCAGGGAGGTGGGGGCTGCTGGGCAGCACCATGATTGCTGCGCTGCAGGGAGATGAGCATGCTGGTGGCCAGCGAGGACTCCAGCTACATGCCGGCCCGTGTCGTGGTGCTGGGGGGAGACAGCCCTGCCACCATCAGAACTGAGCTCAATGTGGTGAGTCTTGCACGGGCTGCTCAGGCCATGGGGCCTCATGGGAGCGGTGGGCTAGTCCTTGCTGTGCCCCGTGAAGGTCTCGCCCTGGTGCTGGGGCCCTGGGAGGTGCCCCACAGGGAGGTGGGGATGGCATGAGCTGTGCTGCAGGAGCCTTCTCCTGGCTGTAGGCAGTGGGTGCTGGAGACTGGGGCATGGGCAGCCCTGCAGCCCAGTCTGCAGCAGGGTGGTGTGCTGGGGCTGTGAGCCAGAAGTGGGGCCCTGGTCAGGGATGCCCTGTGGCTGTGTAGGGGCTGCTGGGGGGGACAGAGGCCGAGGCTTTAATGGGGCATGGCCAGGGGAGCGTGCAGGGTGGCTGGCGCTCGGGGTGTGGTGTGTTGAGGGCTCGCTGTCTGCTTGCAGGTGACCGTCCTGCCCTCAGACAGCAGAGTGATCCTGCTGGAGAACATGACCCGCTTCTGGCCCATCATCCAGATCCGAGTGAAGCGGTGCCAGCAGGTAGGGGAGCAGGGGGCTGGGCCAGGGAGCCGGCAGTGTGGGGCATCAGGGCTGTGCCTGAGGAGCTGAGGGTTGTGCTCTCCCGTAGGGCGGCATTGACACACGTGTGCGTGGCATCGAGGTGCTGGGTCCCAAGCCCACTTTCTGGCCCATCTTCAAGGAGCAGCTGTGTCGGCGGACGTTCCTCTCCTGCACTGCTCGGGCTCATGCCTGGTGCCAGGAGATCTGCCAGGACCGGGGGCGACTGCTGCAGCTCTTTGGCAGGTGAGTTGTCTCCTGGCTGTGCCATCACATCCCTGGTGTCCCAGGGCCTGGGGGGATACCTGTGAGGGGACTGTAGGGCCAGGAGAGGAGCAGCTGGGTGTCCCACCTGCATAGGGAGGGGCCTTCGCTCCTTCCTGGCCACCAGCGGTCCCAGAGGGCCAGGGCCTCTTTGGGGTCCCCCAGGTTTAAGCTGGGCACGTGGGCACAGCTAACCCACCAGAGAGGTGCCCCACAGGGGCCGGCGCATCTTGACCTGGCAGAGGTCGGTCAGGCGCAGGCAGGATCTCGTGGCCACAGGCACCGCACAGCCCCCCAGTTTGGTGGGGGCTGCGAGGGCCCCAAGGCCCAGTGCAAGCAGGGCCTGGGGGCAGTGAGGGGCCCTAGCTGCTGGGGGCGAGTGGGGCTGCTGAGCCGTTGTGCCTGGCAAGGGGTGGGGCAGGGAGCAACCACCATGCTCTGCTTTCCTCGGGGAGTCCCCCCGGCCACCGGCAGGTGCCCAGCAGCACTGTGTGCTGCCCAGTCGCTGTTGCAGGCTGAACCGGGCACTGCAGCATGAGCAGGGCTTCGCCGACCGCTTTCTTCCTGACGACGAGGCAGCCCAGGCCTTGGGCAGGACGTGCTGGGAGGCCCTGGTGAACCCCTTGGTGCAGAGCATCACCAGCCCAGGTACCCTGCGCTCTCCCGGGCCCGTCCGTGCCATGCCCCAGGCCGAGGCACCCTGCTCTGAGTCTGGTTGGCCTCGCAGACCCCCACGGCATCAGCCCTCTGGCCTGGTTGCTGAGCGAGTACCTGGAGAGCGTGGAGCCGCCACACCACGCCACAAGCCGCGGTGCTGTCTTTGGTTCCTGTGTGCGGCGCCTGACCCAGCTCCTGGTGCACGTGGACCCTGGTAGCCCAGAGCCAGAGGAGGCAAGAGCAGCTGGTGAGTGAGGGGCTGCCCTCCCATGGGGCTGGGAGGACGGTGGTCCAGAGTGCCAGGCTGCGGCTGTGGGAATCTGCTGGGGATCTCTGGGGAGGGCCTTGTGGCACAGGAGGCTCCCGAGCCAGGAAGGCTCGTGCTCGTGCCCCCGCAGTGGCCTTGCCTCCCTGGCATCTCCTCTGCCCCACGCCCCGCAGGGAGAGGGGGAGGCTGCTGGCGGTCAGTGTGTGGAGCCTGCCCACGGAGCCACGCTGAGCCCGGGGTTGTCCCTTGGCAGGTGGGAAGGAGAGGAAGAACAAGGAGGTGCCGGCCAGGGCTGCGAAGATGGTGGAGGAGTCGCGCGGCCTGTGGGGCATCTCGCAGTGCTGGCGTGGCGTGGTGCAGCAGCAGGTAGAGCTTGGAGGGCCAGCCATGGGGGCTGGAGAGGGCATGTGGGACCCCGCACCGGGCGGGTGTAGGGGGGACCTACACCCTGGTGGTGCCCTGGGAGTGTAGGGAGGGCGCAGGGCTGTACTTGGCCTCCATGGGGCCCGGAGGGGTGGGGGGACAGCCCTGCCACACTTGCCACCCTGGCAGGGCTCAGGCGTCAGCCTGGCCCTGTGCCCAGGCTGGTGCTGCAGGCTGCGAGACAGGTATAGTGTCGGGCTACTTATTTCCTGCTGGCCTGCTGCTGCACTTCTGTCCTGCCCCCGCAGCCCTTGCCCAGCCCTTGGGGCTGTGCTCCCACCTCACCCCAAGCTCTCGGTAGCCTGCAGCAGCAAGCACCGGGGCCTCTAGTTGGCCCCTGGCCAGGACCTGGGCAGTTGGTGTTGGCAGAGTGAGGCTGGGGCTCTGAATGTTCCCGCGGGCCACGGGCGCGTCCCGCTGCGGGGGCTCACGCCTCTCGCGGCGCATCCCACTGCGGGGGCTCACGCCTCTTGCGGCGCGTCCCGCAGGTGCAGTGGTTCCTGGAAGCAGCAGGGCAGGCGCCGGACCTTGTGGAGCGATACTGTGGGCTGTACCAGCGCCTGCGTGGTGCCACGGAGGCGCTCTTT